TGGAGCCCCACGAGCACAGACAAGAGCGAACAAATAGCGCCGCGTCTGTTTGATAAAATGCTTTCTTATTTCTTTTGCATTTTCTTTTTTCTAATTGTGATTGCAATTTCTCTTATTTCAATTGATGTTTTCATTTACATTCCTAAGAAGAATAGCTAGATTCAATTAGTAATGGGATTAAGTCATCTTTTGTGATTGATGCTATGTAATTGAATTGAGATATGATAAACTAGTGCAATTACTTGATGATAGCTATAGTTGTGAATTTGGTGGTTTGTATTGACTTTTGTAGTTGTAGCCAAATTATGCAAGAGCCACATGGATAAAGTGTTGTCACTATATGAGAATATATAGAGCAACACAATAGTTACACCTCTCATTAGTCCAGCTCACCTTTGAGAAAAGGGAGTTGGGAGGAGACATGAACATCTCGTGTTTGATAAAATGCTTCAATTGTCTTGAGTCACCATGAGAGTAGAGCTTAATTTCAATTGAGAGTCCAATATTGTCCACGACAGTTTCATTGGCATTTAGTAGCGTCTCCCTAATTCCCTTGTCAATGCATTACATGACCTCTATTACATTGAATTGTCATTTTCTTTATTTTGCTCTTTTCACATGCATGAATCACATCTATTCCTTTGAACTAACTTCCAAACAATCTACACTTTTGTGCTTAACAACCGACTGTTTAACACCCTGTTGGTCCACTCCTTAAAATTATATTCGATGTGAGCCTGTGAGGATACCCTCTCACACACACTCCATTCCGTCACCTACTTTAAGTAATCCTTTATATAATAAAGCTATATGATTTGGGAAATAATTAATGTTACAATTAATGCCACAACATCCTTTATTAAAAAAAAATTAAAAAAAGCGTACAACATTTAAAAAATAAAATAGCTATATATTATATAATCATATAAAAAATATACTTTTAAAAAATAAAATAGCTATATATTATATAATCATATAAAAAATGTGTTCAATTAGAGTTTAAATTTACACATACAAAATTTGAAATTTGTTTTCCAAATGTAATTATCTTAGTTATTATTTGTATTGTGAAAATTATAATATAGATGAAATACAATTAAGAATAAATCAATGTAATTATGTAAATTATCTCTATAAGTTTATTTGAATATGCACATAATTTGAGATTATATTAACCATACAAAATTATAATTTTAATTTTAATTTTAATTTTAATTGTAATTTTGTATTCTATAAAAATAATAAATACTTGACCAATATTGGCATTTAGTAGCGTCTCCCTAATTCCCTTGTCAATGCATTACATGACCTCTATTACATTGAATTGTCATTTTCTTTATTTTGCTCTTTTCACATGCATGAATCACATCTATTCCTTTGAACTAACTTCCAAACAATCTACACTTTTGTGCTTAACAATCGACTGTTTAACACCCTGTTGGTCCACTCCTTAAAATTATATTCGATGTGAGCCTGTGAGGATACCCTCTCACACACACTCCATTCCGTCACCTACTTTAAGTAATCCTTTATATAATAAAGCTATATGGTTTGGGAAATAATTAATATTACAATTAATGCCACAACATTCTTTATTAAAAAAAATTAAAAAAAGCGTACAACATTTAAAAAATAAAATAGCTATATATTATATAATTATATAAAAAATATACTTTTAAAAAATAAAATAGCTATATATTATATAATCATATAAAAAATGTGTTCAATTAGAGTTTAAATTTACACATACAAAATTTGAAATTTGTTTTCCAAATGTAATTATCTTAGTTATTATTTGTATTGTGAAAATTATAATATAGATGAAATACAATTAAGAATAAATCAATGTAATTATGTAAATTATCTCTATAAGTTTATTTGAATATGCACATAATTTGAGATTATATTAACCATACAAAATTATAATTTTAATTTTAATTTTAATTTTAATTGTAATTTTGTATTCTATAAAAATAATAAATACTTGACCAATATTGGCATTTAGTAGCGTCTCCCTAATTCCCTTGTCAATGCATTACATGACCTCTATTACATTGAATTGTCATTTTCTTTATTTTGCTCTTTTCACATGCATGAATCACATCTATTCCTTTGAACTAACTTCCAAACAATCTACACTTTTGTGCTTAACAATCGACTGTTTAACACCCTGTTGGTCCACTCCTTAAAATTATATTCGATGTGAGCCTGTGAGGATACCCTCTCACACACACTCCATTCCGTCACCTACTTTAAGTAATCCTTTATATAATAAAGCTATATGGTTTGGGAAATAATTAATATTACAATTAATGCCACAACATTCTTTATTAAAAAAAATTAAAAAAAGCGTACAACATTTAAAAAATAAAATAGCTATATATTATATAATCATATAAAAAATATACTTTTAAAAAATAAAATAGCTATATATTATATAATCATATAAAAAATGTGTTCAATTAGAGTTTAAATTTACACATACAAAATTTGAAATTTGTTTTCCAAATGTAATTATCTTAGTTATTATTTGTATTGTGAAAATTATAATATAGATGAAATACAATTAAGAATAAATCAATGTAATTATGTAAATTATCTCTATAAGTTTATTTGAATATGCACATAATTTGAGATTATATTAACCATACAAAATTATAATTTTAATTTTAATTTTAATTTTAATTGTAATTTTGTATTCTATAAAAATAATAAATACTTGACCAATGGAAGCTCAAAAATATTATTATATTAATAATTTAAAATATTTTAGTTTTTTTAATTTTTATTTATATTTATAATAACATAATTTCTTTCCGTGTATCGCGCGGGTGAATTACTAGTATATATATATATATATCTTACCAAGAGAAATATTAATTTTTTTTTTTGAATGTTATTGAAACTGAGACCTCTTATTTAAGGGGTTACAGCTATGCCGCTCGACCACAAGGTCTTTGGTAGACAAATATTAATTAATTTCTAAAAAAATTTAAATGTCTATTCACTCATTTAGATTTTACTAAAATCAATACTTTTAAAATGAATTTGCAGTGAAGTTGTAGTTAAAAATCTAATTTATTATGGAGTATATACAAGTCACTAGGGTTCACCTTTTGAAAATTAAGGTAGTACTCCACTACTTTTATTACATTACTTTATAGAGCCAACTAACTCAGCTAATGTATGTCGAAGACTTCCGTAGACTATAAGTCGTCGATGAGAGGACTGAATAATACTGAATACTTCTGTCTCATTCTATGCGGCAAGCTTAATGTTACTCAAATTTTGCAGCTTTTTCTTCAAAGAAAATAATGAATTATATATAATTATTTTTAAAAATGGATTCCCAAAAATTGGGAGCCTATGATATCCGATCCCCTTGACCGTACATGGCCAATGTCGGCGGCAATTTATACGTAGTATCATATATGGATTATGGTCCACATAGTATTATGCACCGAAACAACGAAGTACATTAGTCATATTCTTAAAGTACATAATTTTATAACACAAGACACAAAAAATCACAACACAAGACACATATACATGTTACCTATTTACTTATTTTTTAAATTTGATTTATGTATATAATTTGTGTTCACAGGCACAAAATTTCACACCACAAGACATGCATAATTTCTTAACATAAGACAATTATTAATTTGCTTGAGGTACAGAATTCATACTCTTAAAGTACATAATTTTATAGCACAAGACACAAAAACTCACAACATAAGACATACACATGTACTAGGGTCCACAGTGCATTGTGAACCCTTATCCATGGTATCAGGATTGAATGTTGGCCTACTCATGTTTGAGCGCCATGAAGCGTAAATGGCTAATAATGGGCGTTCATACAAATTTTTAAAAGAGTAATGTTGTCCACCTTTATAAAATTTTTCTCTCCTTTGACATTTTCTAATTCGAAAATTAACTTTTCTTTTTAACTAATGGTAGTGTTATCCAATTCATGGGCACCAATGATTTTAAGTTACATTATGATGAAAAATATTAGGGGTTATAGAATTTTGTTTTTTAAATAAAAGTAATAATTGGACTTGCATAATGCATTTATTTTGATTTAATTGCATTTTTTGTTCTATATTTATAGGTGACATTGACCTTTTAGTCTTTTTTTTTTTTCTTTTCAAAACAATGCTTTATTCTTATCCTAGTATTATTCTAGCATGGTCATTTTTCGTCCTCCATCAACAATTCTGTTTAAATGACTTTAAATATGAAGGCATTTTAGCCTATTTAGTTCTAAGTATTCATTCCTTTTTTGGTCCTAGATTTATGTGGCATTTCATAGCTGCAGATGCTTAGGTTGTGAAGGCGTTGTTGTGGAGGCACAGATTCCAATTGAAGAAGACATGAGACTCTAATCGTGAATTACGCATTTATAAATAAAAAATAAAAATATAGCAAGTCAACTCACTTTGTATTTAAAAAGATCGAAATGTCTTCGTATTTATTGTCATTTAAATAGGTGTTAACGAAGGATTAAAAATTACCATGTCACAATAATACAACAACCAATAGAAAATGATTAAAAAAAAGACTAAAAATCAAATTACACCTAATAAATCTAATAACAAAAATGAAATTAATTCCATTTATTTTTATTGATGTTAGTCAAAATTATTTGTTTTAATATTTTATACTCTTTTACGCTATCTCACGAATCAACTTATAAAATACCAATAAGTATAAAGTGAATTAAAACTTTAGAAATTTGACATACAGATTTAAAAGTTCAACTCGTAAAAAACCACAAAAATGGTAGCTCATCGTGATGAGATAAGCGTTCAATCAATTCAATTCAACTGAATGACAGGAATACAATACAAAGGCTCAACAACTAACGTGAGAGTCTCCTATCTAATAGGATGACCAAAGAGTAATTACCTGTTACATTATTGACTAACATATTACAATAATAAGAATAATAATATATATGACTAACATTCCCCCTCAAGCACAAGGTAGGTGTGTCACCACATTGAGCTTGTCACGAAGAGCAGCAAACCGAAGACCTGATAGAGGTTTAATTTGGTGAAGATGTCCGCTAGTTGATCTTTTGTAGACACAAAGTTAACAACCAAGTCCCCTGACGCCACCTTGTCCCAAACGAAATGAAAGTCAATCTCGACATGCTTGGTTCTGGCGTGAAACACAGGATTGGCGCATAGATATGTGGCACCTAGATTATCACACCATAGAGTGGATGCTTCCCCAGTATGCAGGCCTAGTTCACGGAGTATCGAAACAACCCATGTGACCTCAGCCGAGACATCAGCTAGGGCCTTGTATTCGGCTTCAGTGGACGAGCGTGCAACAGTGCGCTGTTTCCGAGATAGCCATGAGATGAGATTAGACCCCAAGAAAACAGCATATCCACTCGTGCTTTTTCTATCTAGCGGACAACCGGCCCAATTGGAGTCAGAGAAAGCGTGCATAGCCGAGGAAGTGAAGACCGAGATTTGCAGACCGTATTCCAGAGTATCCTTGATATACCGAACGACTCATTTGAGGAGACCCCAATGATCCACTGTTGGCGAGTGCATGAACTGACACAGCCGATTCACAGCATAAGAGAGATTCGGTCGGGTGATGGTTAAGTACTGCAAAGCACCCACAATGCGCCTGTACTGAGTTGGATTATCATGTGGCTGGTCTGACGGTGAGACTGATTGTGTGACAGCAGCAGGAGTTGCCAACGGCTTGTAGTCAGTCATTCCTGCACGATTTAGGATATCCTTCATATAACGCCGCTGAGACAACATAATCCCAGTGTCAACTTGTAGCATCTCAATCCCGAGGAAGAACCCGGGGGTGCCTAGGTCACGAATCTTGAGTCACCGTGAGAGTAGAGCTTAAATTCAATTGAGAGTCTAATATTGTCCACGAGAGTTTCATTGGCATTTAGTAGCGTCTCCCTAATTCCCTTATCAATGCATTACATGACCTCTATTACAATTGGATTGTCATTTTCTTTAGTTTGCTCTTTTCACATGCATGAATCACATCTATTCCTTTGAACTAACTTCCAAACAATCTACACTTTTGTTCTTAACAACCGATTGTTTAATACCCTTTGAGTAAATACCGGTAGAGGTCCTCCGACTTTGGTGGCACTGCCACTTTTAGTCCTCAACTTTTAAATTAACCACTTTTAGTCATCTTACTTTTTGTTTCTAGCCATCTATGGTCCTTTCGTTAAACTTGACCATCTAATGCCGTTTTCTAAAAGATAATTCAGTCCTTTCATAATTAATTTATTAATTATTATGTTTAATTTGCGCATCAGAATAGTCAAACAATGGTTTCCCAGCTATGAATGTGTACAAAACCAGCTCGTGAATCAAAATGGCATACAAAAGCTGGTACGAAGGTTGTGCCAAAACGACGTTGGGATATCTCGGTATGACTCGGCAATCATAATAATTAATAAATTAATTATGAAAAGACTGAATTATCCTTGAGAAAATAGCATTAGATGGTCAAGTTTATCGGAAGGACCATAGATGGCTAGAAACAAAAAGTAAGAGGACTAAGAGTGGTTGATTTAAAAGTTGAGGACTGAAAGTGGCAGTGCCACCAAAGTCAGAGGACCTCCGCTGGTATTTAATCATACCCTTTTGGTCCACTCCTTAAAATTATATTCCATGTGAGCCTGTGAGGATACCCTCTCACACACACTCTATTCCGTCACCTACTTTTAAGTAATATATATATATATATATATATATATATATATATATATATATATATATATATATATAGCATTTAGGTGTACGTAGTAGTGCTGAGTAATTAACTTACCAAGAGAAATATTAATTTTTTTTTTGAATGCTATTGAACCTGAGACCTCTCATTTAAGGGGTCACAACTATGCTGCTCGACCACAAGGTCTTTTTTTTTTTTTTTTTTTTTGGTGAGGCGACCACAAGGTCTTTGGTAGACAAATATTAATTAATTTCTAAAATTATTTAAATGTCTATTCACTCATTTAGATTTTACTAAAATCAATACTTTTAATGTGAATTTGCAGTGAATTGAAGTTGTAGTTAAAAATATAATTTATTATGGAGTATATACAAGTCACGAGGGTTCACCTTTTGAAAATTAAGGTAGTACTCCACTACTTTTATTAATTACATTCCTTTATAGAGCCAACTAACTCAGCTAAGCAGCGGTATTAATATCAACAAGTTGCATGAACCAATTCAATTGCAAGAGAATTATAGCGAAGACTTCCGTAGACTATAAGTCGTCCATGAGAGGACTGAATAATAGTGAATACTTCTGTCGCATTATATGCGGCAAGCTTAATGTTACTTAAATTTTGCAGCATTTTCTTCAAAGAAAATAATGAATTATATATAATTATTTTTAAAAATGGTTTCCCAAAAATTGGGAGCATGGCCAATGTTGGCGGCAATTTATATCATATGTGGATCATGGTTCACATAGTATTATGGACCCCAAATCGAAACAATGAGGTACATAATTCATACTAGTAAATTTACGTTAAAGTACAAAATTTTATAACACAAGACACAAAAAATCACAACACAAGACACATATACATGTTACCTATTTACTTATTTTTTAAATTTGATTTAGGTATATAATTTGTGTTCATAGGCACAAAATTTCACACCACAAGACACAAAATTTCTTAACATAAGACAATTATTAATTTGCTTGAGGTACAAAATTCATACTCTTAAAGTACATAATTTTATAGCACAAGACAGAAAAACTCATAACATAAGACATACACATGTACTAGGGTCCACAATGCAGTATGTTAGGAACAAGTGTATTTAGATTTTGATGATACCAAACTGTCTAGAAATGTAGACCCCTACTTTTCTTTCATAGATAGGTCTCTTGTGACGAACGAGAGTTCTTATAACTCAACGATTGATTCACACCATGAGGTGTACGAATCTTACTCGAGACTAGCACAATAGGGCTACATGAAGACTTGAAGACGACAAGATTGTCCACCTTTATAAAAAATTTCTCTCCTTTGACATTTTCTAATTCGAAAATTAACTTTTCTTTTTAACTAATGGTAGGGTTATCCAATTCATGGGCACCAATGATTTTAAGTTACATTATGAGGAAAAATATTAGGGGTTATAGAATTTTGTTTTTTAAATAAAAGTAATAATTGGACTTGCATAATGCATTTATTTTGAGTTATTGCATTTTTTGTTCTATATTTATAGGTGACATTCACCTGTGTTTTTTTTTTTTTTAATGTTTTTATCAAAGCAATCCTTTATTCTTATCCGATCCTAGTATTATTCTAGCATGTGTTGGAAAAAGTGCTTGTAATATGTAATACATTTGAGATACAACAACAATACAGAATACAACAGGGAACAAAAACGTACTGGATCATTTGATATCTTCAGGCGTGTAATCACTTTCTTATAAGCTTTAAATCTCCCTCTATAAAAGCAACAAGGTTCAAGATTTAATCTTATGGGATACAAGAAGATGAATGAAATTCTGAAGTTGCTTTGTTTGAGAATTTCCTGAAGAACTGTAGGACTGTTAAAATCTCAGTTTAATGCAAGTTTTTGCATATATGTTTTTCAGATGTTTCTCTAATATTTAAAGATGCAAATAAATTAGTTGGAGAAGTTTACATTGGAGGTTAATTTTTAAATTTAAAACTTAACTTCCAAAAAGATAAAATCTTATCTAAAATACATGAGAAAAGATAATTACATATAAAATATATGTAACTAATCAAAGTATGAACTTTCATATGCATACAATATTATTAAATAAATAATATCAATATATATATATATATATATATATATATATATATATATATATATATATACCTATGTTTTACTTGAGTGCATGTGACCATGCAAAGAGTAAAAAAGGATACACATATATATTCCATGCATACTGCATGCATAACCACACCAAATCAACAAAGCAGATGCCAGTCGATTTGATGGACACCGAAAGCATTGATTCGTTTAAAACTAACGATTCGTTAACACCAACAATCATGAAATTTCGGTTCCAAATCATTTTTCCTAACTTACTTTCTACCAAACTAAAATAATATTTATAACTCCACAACTCCAAATATTATTTAAGTTTTCATGGTAGTTCATTTGAAACATTAATGTTCATTACTATATAAATTTCCAACATTCCTCCTCCATTTATATAGTAAAGATTAATACTTTACCAAGATAAATCCAAAACTCATGCATAAATGAAAGTGTCTTAGAGATTGAACTTTCACATAGTGTTATATGCGTTACATTAATTCGGATTGCAGTGATGGACGAACCTTGAATCACGCAGTCTCTTTGAAGAAACGTAGATATAACACACACAAGTTTTACAGTCATTACAACTCACTGTAACTTGACACTATTATGGCCATGTGTCCGTATCCATTAATGAGCACGTACCAAGTAAAACCCAAACTTGTTTGAAGCGGCCACACTCCATGCTCACAGAGGCTAATCTTTTATATCATGCATTGCATCTTGCATTTTTTCAAAAGATCAGTTAAGAGTAAAAAACTCATCCCTACAACAATGCAAAACCAAGCATCACCTTTTCTTTGGATACAATTTTAATTAAACGATTTTGATGCTTGCAAATCATAAAATGAAGTACTCATCTACATTGAACTCAAGGTCTAACGTAATAACTTAGACGTGAGTTGAGCTTTCCTTCACTTGCAATTTTAATTTAGGCTTTCCGTATCCCTTCCGATGAACCATGTCCCTTGCAAGGACTCTTGCAAACGGATCCGTTAAAACCAGGACTGTACCAAGTCCAGTGCTACAACACTATTACCTAGGATTTTCCACATAGCTAAATCTCAAGCCCATGTGCCTTCACTTGCCATTATAAGCACTTGTTTATATGATATGGCCAGTGGGTAGTAGCATTGTCATAATGTACAAAACTGGTGACATCGATTTTGGCCAAACCATAATCATAATAAATTAATTCCTTAGCCAATTAACATCTTTGCATGCCTAAACCAAAGCAATAAATTCAGATGCCATAGTTGAATCTGAACTGCAACTTTGCTTTTTAGAAGCCCAGGAGAAAACACCTCCTCCAAGCAGATAAACACATCCACTAATTGAGGAAAACTCTTCCTGATTAGATATAACTGGCATCATAGAATTTTAATATTCAATCAATGAACCTGTGAAAATAAAATATTTGTTTGATCATACTGAAACCCATTTTACCGGTTCCTAGTCAATAAATATTTATTTTCATGTAAATTCTATAACCAAGAATTTTCAATCACCATGTAGAAATAATTAACATTAACAGTGAGTGATTCCTTAAAATAAAAAAATTAAACCTCCTCCACTTGGAATACCATCCACTTTGGAAAATAATCGTATACTGATAAACCTCCTCCATTCAGAAATATTCATTCACTTTGGAGAATAAACTTGTACTGATATACCTCCTCCATTTAGAGATATCTATTCTTTTTTTTTTTTGAATGCTTAGAGATATCTATTCACTTTGGAGAAGAAACCATTTCTTTTTTTTTTTTTTTTAAAAACTTTAATTTTTCATGTTTCTTCTAAACCGAAGAAGCATACCAACTTAAATCATAATCCATGATTTAAATTTAAAATTTCTTTTCACTAGCCAATTCCCATACTAGATAAACCAGTAAACTTTTTGGCTTTCAATATTTTAACACATTCTCAATATGAGAAACTTTGTGTTAAAGGCATTCATAAATTTTATGAATTTCATTATGAGTACTTCATGC